GTTGTTAATTTAAATAATTTTTTTTTTGCCATGCGACTGCAATTCATCAGAATCCTGTCCGCTGCCGCATGTGTTGGCATGTCGATTTTTAAAATAAACCATAATAGGCTTGATAAGTCAATTTGACGGGAATTCATTGTGTGTAAAACAGGAGAAATTAAAAATCATTTTTTATCCTTCTGTGTTAGATTTATTTCTAGTTTAATAAAACAAATTAAATACTTTTGAACGAAAATATATTAGAAAATATCGAATCAAACTTTAGAATAGACACATTAATACTATAGAACATTTAAATTATCAGACAGTAAAAAAGTACTACATCCTTTTTCGGCGTTGGCTGTATACAGATTTAAATCTATGTATGTACCAATGTTATTGTGGTGGTACTATTATTTGAGCCATTACTTGAGCTCTAGCTTTTTGGAAACGAGGCCGCCACTCCAACCTACCTATCTACCTTTAAAAAAACATTTACGCAATATAAATTTACTAGAATTCGCTATAAGAAAATATATGGTTTTTGGTGTATATCTGAATTAGATTCCTTTTTTCTTTAATAAATAATGTTTGGCAAATTGTCGTATAAAGACTTACACCAAAGCGAATCTTTTCAATATCTACAAGTGACATTTACAAATATTTATTAAAATATAGGAAGGGAAAAGAAAACTGTCCCCAACTTAAACTTAATATCAACCATATTGTAATCCTACAATAAAATTCCGCGGACTTTGAACCCCAGACCGATCTAGACAAACCCTACCAAAACGAATTAACTGCTGCAACTCACCCTTGGCTAAGTTGAGTTACTTTGAGAGAACATTTGCTGATATAGCTGACAGCACTTCCCTTTGCTCACTCTAATGTCCTCATAGTTGCCTCGGAGAGACAAGTTACACTTACTTTAAGTATCTCATAATATTATTCTTGTTAAACCATTTGTGTTCCAGATAAAGCTGTGTGGATCTGAAAAGTCTACTCTTATTATTTTTGTTAAGCCAATTAAGAAACAGATTCCTAGACACTGAATGTACTACTTTTGCAGTCCCGAACATATACATACGAAGCGATCTATGAATTTTATTTCCTTAAAACAAATAAAAAGTATTGACAATTTGGGGGAAATTGCACTTTTCAATTGGACAACAAGATTCTATCGTAAAGCGCAATTAAGTATACAATTAGCGATCTGGCTATATGTCATACAACTTTGGATTAATGTAAGTACTTTTGATATAGAAATGCTAAAAACACACATCAAAAAAACTTAAAAATATAGAAAATAGAAACAGAGGTCATGTTCATGTTCATGTTGAGTCTATTTAGAGTTAGTGCATTTGGGTACTTTTACTCTTTAATATCTGGGGGGTTTCTGCAGAGTCCCACCCTTCTCACTGACTAATTTAAGTAGTTCTCAAAAGCTTCGTGATTATTCGATGATTGATCTAAGATCTGTGTAGAGAAGCTTGTCGGTTTTCGTGAATAGCTTCAGGGCTGTGTCCGTTATGTATTTTTTGACCGAATCTATTCTAAGGTTTCTTAGCAAATTATTTGTGTGGATGTACCAAGGCATTTTAAACAGTTTGTCTGAGTAATTTCTATTTAATAAGAATAATAAAAACGTTGTCATACTTCGAGTAATGAAAACAATAAGCCAAACTAGCAACTAAAATATTTGAGAAGTTTCTGAAATTGACAAGTTTAGAATGAGGTTTGCAAGATATTTCTGTAACGGCTTACTAAACAAAGATTTTTTATTTTATATCGAAAAAAGGATCTAACTCATTTGCTCAAATTATATTGTTTTCTCTTAATTCTCTTAATTTAATTTTCTCTTAAATCTCTTAATTTAAACTTAACATCCTATATATAATAAATACCAATTATCATTTTCCAATCTTACCATGTTGATCAACAATTTTGCGGTTTGAGGACCTCAGTGCCTTCAATGCAGCAATGTCAACGGTAACATTTTTCCTGTTTTGATTAAGAAATTATTTGAAATTCTAAAACAATTTACTTAATTTGATAACATATTTCAATTATCACCTAAATTTTTTACTGTTCTATAATAGAATTATCTTATTTTCATATCATTGATGGATTTGTTTGCATTGATTTTCATTAGGTAACTATGGTATGTGTTTTGTTTATATTAATACTTGATTGATTGGATTAAGTTTGGCTTTAAATTACAATTTTAATTTCAATTCAGTGATGAAAAAAAATATTTTGATTGGGCTTGATATTTGCATTTGCTGCATACCGCAGAGAAATGCAAGAACTGCTGAGTGATATGCACAACAAAAAGCACAAAAGCAATTTTGGTCAAAAGCATTCAAGTTGCAGTTGGCAACATTATCCCAAATTTCGTAGAATTTCGCAACGCTGTGAAATGCGTGCATATGCACTTTCAGCCTACAGCCTTCAGCCTTCAACATTCAACATTCAGCATCCATAAGCGGAGAGTTTACAATACCAGAAAGGCAGCTGAGGCATTTCGTTCAGAATTGGAATTCAAACAATATTGTTAATTAACATGTGCACGTTGACTGTGATGCCTGCCACTCACCCAAACCGCCCAATAAGCCGCATATATGCCCAGCAGCAGAGAGTGCAACGAGAGACAATCGTGTGTTGCACAAGTGCCGGTTTACATTTACTATGCTGCACTTTTGATAGGCACTAATGCAAGTACACAATTTATAAATGCAGTACAAAATCAAGGAAAGGACACAACTATATAAAAAATATTATACATAAAATAATATTATTAATATATCATATCTGAAACAATCACTTACAGCTTGCATCGCTAGTTGCCAAAACCAAAAAAAAAAACAAATAACAGGGCCTGTGCATATGTCGTGCTATAAATTAGTTTGTTGAAATCATTGGCTTTATCACCTCATATCGAAACCATAAATGCTCGTTGGCATATGGCTGATGGCATACTACACATGCAATGCAAGCAGGCAAATGTATCTGCATATGCAGTAAACCGAAAATGAAGAATTTCATTCGAAATGAAAAAATCCTTCAGCAACAAAATTGAAATGAAACCGAGCTTGTATGCTGGAGTCCTATCCAGTACGTTTATGGATGGACAACTAGATAGTTGGATGAATGGATGGATGAATGTTTGGTTGGTTGGCTAGTTGATTGCACCAATATCTATCTACTTGTATCCGATACGAAAACAACTGAGGAATGCACAATTTTGTTCATATCGGAGAAGAATGGAATTTCTCGGTTGTGTTTCTCTGATTCGGAAAATTTTGCAACTACGGCATGGAATTTTGATTGTGAACATGGGTATGAGTGAATGTTGGTCTTACTCTACTTCGTACCGA